CGCGCGTTGCGCCGTGTGGGCCGCGTTGGGCTGAATTGAGTTTATCTTTTTCGTGGAAAATATAAATAGCTTTTTATTTTAATTCTGAGCTGAACTTTGATAAATCATATAAAATCATGTAGGTATTCAAAAATTGTGAAACTTTTGTTAAGTTCCTAAAATTGTCCTCTATCTGTTAGTGTATTTAGTTCATATATATACTTGTCGATGCCGGGAGCTATTAAATTATTTGAGAGTGCTTAATATTATTAGGTTAAATATTATAGAAAGTTTTGTGGCAAAATGATGATAGCTTTAGCTTTGAAAATTTTACAGTAGCTTGATGGTATTATTATGTGCTCACTGTAATTTTTGTAGCATTAGAATAGACTTAACATAAGGGTAGTTAAATGCTCTTTGTTTCAAATATCTATTAAATCATTAGTACAAATAGAGATATATCCTTCCTTTGTAAAGCTAGATGTTTGTTAGTTGAACCCAACACTTTACTTGATGAAGATGATAGTTAGCTTAGTACCTTAGTCATTAGAGCTAGCTTAGTAGTTTACCATGTGTATTCTTATTTTAAGAGTTGATGTTGCCGAAATGCTAGGTGTTGCATCATCATCGCATGCATGTAGAGAACGAGTTGGCGGAGATAGTGACCATCGGAGATTATGAGTTCGAGGAGGTGATCGAGGAGTACGAGGAGATCCTCGTGCAGGAGGATGTCCCGGGGCCACCACTGACTGAGCTGACACCGCGTCTGCCCAAGCCAAGCCCCGGGCATAACCCTTATTTTGAATAATCATTCGATATATATATATATGTGATGTGCATTTACGTTACAGGCTTATTGTTGAAACTACATGCATAGATATACCTACCTATGAGTCCTACTAGCTTAGGCCACGTAGCTGCTATGCTTAGTTTTTTTTTGGTAGCGTGAGTAACCAGCCGTTACTCGTAATAGGTGATTATTAATATTACTCTCATGATAAAATAGTGAAAGGAAATGGAGACCGGGCATGGATATGGTACGGGTATTGGTAGGTGTAAGAGGTTGTGTCCTGTGGTCAACGGGGCATAGCTTGGTTACACTGTTTCCCTGCCCGTGTCGGTTAAGGACCGACCATTGCATTGGATTCTAGTCGGGTCATAGACTTATTAATCTGAGCACATACTTATTTATAGAAGCAGGGAAGGCTCGTTGCTCTCTTGTCGTGGGTTCCGGCTCTTTCCGGATCGACTAATTTGAGGTGGAGATGGTGGAGGTCTAAGCACCACACTGAGTTCGGGACTCAGGTGTGGAGGCTTGGAGTCCACGTTTGAACAGGGACCTAGAGCCTTTGATAGGAGAGTGGTGGGTTAGTCCTGCTTGTGTCGGGGGTACAAGCGGGACGTGTGTTTCAGGGTATCCAGCTGGGCTACACTGATTCACGAATCGCCGTGTAATACGGTACGACTTGTCTACGATCTAGCACCATAGTAAGAACTGGAAGATGAAAGAAAATGAATGGATCTGATTGCTCAACTCTTGCTTGAAAGTAGAACATGTGCTTACATAGAATGGTTAGCTAATGAACTAATCATGACCGCTAATAAAACACATATCTAAGGATTTACTACTGGTATTGTTTTTTGTAAAAAGGAAATCCCGCAAACTATAAAATTTATCATATCGTTTGGAGTCGGGAAATTATTCTCAATAGTCGGGTAAGTCTTGCGAGTACATTGTGTGATATAGCTTGCTTTCGGGGTGCTTAGTGTCTGGTGGAAGACGAGCGTCTCCAAAGATGTGTTATTTCAGATAGTTCTAACACAGAACCAGTGGTTGGCTTGCAGTATTATGAATTTATAGCCATGAGATATTTTACAATGGTTGGGAAAATACCTTGGTACCTCTAGGTACTTTTATTTTTTCTATTTTTTAGCCAATTAAGTGAGAAACTTTATTTATTAAATATAATTTGTAATATTGAGGGTATTTTTGTAACGGGTTAAGTCCAATTTACACCCTTCAACTTGCAGCAAAGTTCGGATTTCAACCTCGAACTTCAAAACCGGACAACTTTGGCCCTCCAACTCTCGAAAAAGTTCTACTTTCAACCTTCTGGGCGGTTTTGCGGGTGAACAGTAACTTTTAATATTTTCAGAAGCGCCGAAATTTTATATTATTTTTTCGAGCATCTTAACGTCCTCAAATAAAAAAACTCAAAACTACAAAGTTGTAGATCTCATCGAGGTCTACAATTTACATAGAAAAATTATCTTCATCCGACATCGTATCGAAGGGTTTTCTATTTTTTAAAATTTAAGTCTCATCACGCGATAAAATATGGTGCTTTGATTTTATATTTCAAAAAAATCTTACTCTCCTCAAATGAAAAAACTCAAAACTACAAAGTTGTAGATCTCATCAAGGTATATAATTTACATATAAAAATTATCTTCATCCGACATAGTATTGAAGGGTTTTCTATTTTTTTGAAATTTGAGTTTTTCATTTGAGGATTTATTTCCCTCGAAAATAATATAAAATTCAAAAAATTTTATCGCTTGATGAGACTCAAATTTCAAAAATAGAAAACCTTCAACACAATGTCCGATGAATATAATTTTATATGTAAATTGTAGACTCGATGAGATCTACAACTTTATAGTTTTGAGTTTTTTCATTTGAGAAAAGATTAATATAAAATTTCAAGGCCCTCAAAATATCAAAAGTTACTGTTCACCCGCAAACCGAGAAGGTTGAAAGTTGAACTTTTTCGAGAGTTGAGGCCAAAATTGTCCGGTTTTGAAGTTCGAGGTTGAAATATAATTTGTAATATTGAGGGTATTTTTGTAACTGAGGTGTGATTTGTGAACGTGTGATAAATTTGGTGTATTCTCTCTCTTCCACCGTGCATGCTTCTCCTGTTCTCCAATTTCTCTCCCGTGTGTTCTTTCTCCGTCTTATCCTAGTATGGCTTTGGGGTGGCGTACTAGCGACTAGCGAGTAGCGACGGTGACCGATGGCACGGCACTGGGGTACAGCGGCAGGGATAGCGCGAGCACTCGCATGTAAGTGCGGGCAGCGTGTGGCGTGTGCTAGCGGCAGCAGGCCGGCAGGACCTGTCGACATGCGAGCCCGGCCTGCACGGCGGCGCAGCCAAGGCGAGCAGGCGGAGCGAAGCCGAACTATAGGGTCGGCGCATGGCTACTGCAAAGCGTGCGGCCGGAGGCCGAAGGATGCAAAGTGAGCGAGCGCAGCGGACAGCATGCGCTAGGTGAAGGCCGACTCGAAGCTGCGGCCGCGCGACCATGGTGAGCACGAGGATGTTCCTGCACACGCTGGCCTCAGGGTTGTCCTTCCTGATGCGTGCCGTCTCCATGGTGGTCACCGTGGCGATGGCGGCCTCGACGGGGTCATCGGACCCGAGCTCGCCGGGTAGGGGATGTTGTCGTTCTTCTTCTTCAACTGCCGCCAGATGCCAAGGATAATCTCCTTGGTGAGCAGCGACATAGCTACCATGGTGGGGTCGAGGATGGCACCGCGCCTGCTTCAGCTACTGCGAGGACGGGCTGGGACGCATCCAAGGAGAAGGCCACCGAGCTGCTCAAGATGCTCAAACAAGTACAAGAGCGTAGCCGAGTTGGGTGATTTACCCTGAATGGCAGTAAATTACTGATTTACCCTTATTCGAAAATAAAATATAAAATATAAAATATAAAATAGATCTTGTCCCACTTAATATGGTACTAGCCCCACCTAATTTGGTACCTTCAGTTTGGTACCTCATATTTTTCCATCATCCGATCTCGCACAATGGGTGGTCCATGTTTTTTCCGACCATCGTAAAATTTCTCTATAGCCTTACATTATTGCACTATTGTCATCTTCTATATCTTGTGGTATGAATTAGTAGAGTTACTTGTGTTGGTACTGTAGCCAAATCGGGTTGGTTAGGTGCATATGAAGTCATGTTTATATTGATTCCATGAGTGACATGTTTCTGCATTGTCTTTTTCATATTCCGATTGTGATTTAATTGTTTAAATTAAGATTGGTTCAATTTCAATTTGCTGTAAACCCTGTTTTCATGTCCATTCCGTCTAGATTTTGATTTTGTTTCTGTAATAAAATATAAAAGCAAAACCTAAAGATGTCTTATCTAATTAGTTTCACTCATTTTCACCCTCTACGTAGGTGTAACGGTGGAGCTCACCTTTGTGTATAGAGGACTATCAATGGGTTGAACGAGTTCGGAGGTGATGTCGCACAAGAAGTTATTATTTATATAATCTCATTTCATCCTCAACATATATGGATTGAAACAAAAAATTTGAGTAATCTTTATGTCATCTCCGATAACATATGGATTGGAGGCACTTACCTTGCTATCCAAACAAGGCCCAAAATGGGGCTAGCTTGAAGATGGCGCGACAATAGAACTGGCAGAGGAGGTGGACGTAGAGTCCGATAAAAAAAACAAGTAGGAGAGAAATGCTTTGGCTGATACTAAGCGCTTATTTGGGTACAATTGTATCAACTACAATCTATATGTGTTAGATTGATTTAAGATGAAAATTAAACTAAATTTGACTTTAACTCGCTATAACACATGTATATTGGGTTGGATACGAGTGCATCTAAACCTAAACCTGAGTAGATGGGAGGTGGAGCACGGCGCGGGAGCAGGAGGGGTGTGGTGGAAACCGGTTAAAGTGTTCGTCTGTGTATCGGTGAAATACGAGAAACGGACATTGGAATGATTTCGCAAAGAATATAGTACTCTTTTTTGCCGGAATGTCTAATGATACCTGTACAGATAAAATAGAACATGGAACAGAAAAGACATTGGAAAGACAAGGGGGTTCTGTGCACTTTTCCTTCGTCCTTTTGCGGTTTTGCCTACTCCATCCTGATCATCATATCGGCACCCACGGCGGTCCCCTACAGCGCTGCGTGGAGCCACGTCAGCGTCATGCGGCTGATCATGGAGGGGCGCCGCAGCGCACTCAATGCCACGCGGGGCTCACCCGTGAAGCATGCGCGGGGCGGGCCCACGTCCGTCGTCCATCCTCGCCGACCCGCCGCGGGCCATGCTGAGCGCGGACCGCCAGACCGGATCCACCTCGCCGTCGTCGGCGGCCGCGGCGAGCCACGCGTCGACGCCGTCGAGGAGCGCGCGCCTGCTGGGCAGCGGCGACACCAGCCGGTCCCCCGGCACGCCGATGGCCGCGGCGCCCCCGTCGACGAGGGAGCGGAAGAAGACGTCGCGCAGCTCCCACGACGATGACCCCGCGTCCGCGGCGGACGACACGCCCAGGCCCAGCCGCCGCGGCACTTCTGCCAGGGGAACTGGAACACCCCCGGCGGCCGCCGCGACGCCTCCCCGATGACGTCGCCCAACGCCCCCGCCCCCGCCGCGGCCACGGCCTCCTCGAAGGGGAAGTCCGGCGGCGCGGCATGGACCTCCTCCTCCCTCGCGCGCTTCTTCGTCTTGCGCTCCGGCAGCTGCTGATCCATGCACGCACTGCACTGCACTGCACCGCATCAGAAATCCATAATTCAGAAGAAAAAAAACATGGATACGCACGGTTCACCACCATCGACTAACCACAAACATGCATGTTGCATGAACACATATAACAAGCAATATCTACTACACCCTGCATTCGTGCAAGAACAAGAACCCTGCGCTATGCATGCATCGTTGTATGCCTGTATGGTAGTACCTCGTATGATTGAGGAGACAGAATAGAGGACCGGATGGGAGAGGTTTTGCGCGCTGCTTGGCTTGGCGAGGTGGTGTCGATGGGGTACGAGAGGAGGAGGAAGAAGGTGCTGCGGGGCCGCCCTAAGAGACGGAGAACGCGGACGGGCGATCGAGCGTTTTGCACGCACGCCACGCCATGCCAAGCGCTCGCGCTCGGCTGGCCGGGCCTATATATTAACCGAACGGCAGAAATGAACAAACTGATCGACCAGGAGACCATGTCACTAGTGCAAAGGGGTGCCGGTACATACACATGCCCCTTGATCGAGCGCGTGTACGTACGACGCTCACTCGAGCCACTGCATTGCTTGTCACGCTTTATATTGCCTTGTTGGAGCACTTTCCCCCTGCACCTTGATAAACGATAGGCAATATAAACCTACGACGCTCGGGGACACTCGATTTTAACGTGCCCTCCATTGGAAGGAAAAAACTTGTCACGCTTCACTATATTCCTTGTTGAGCACTACAAACGCACCGAGGATTACAACTTTTTCTTATCCCAAGACGACGGCTTACCTGAAGTATATATAGATAGAAAATCCTAATAGGTGACGATCCGTACTGGGGAGGGCAGGCCTCCCGGCGACGAGCCTCGCTTCGTTTCGACAGAAATTAGTCTTTATCCTGTACATAACTGAATTTGTATCACAGCTCGACACACCTTGGCTTTTGGGCGCGGGGTCAGACGGGTCAGCACTCAACAGAGCCGCGCCGGGCCGGAACCGCGTGCGATCTCGTGCTTCGCCAGACAAGGAAGGAAGAAGGAACAACGGCTCGTGCCACGCAGGTCGTGCGGTGCGGCAACCCGGAGGCGGAGGCGGAGGCGGAGGCGGCCATGAATTCCGCGCCACCGCCACGGGGCCGGGGGGATCGCGTGCCCAGCGGCAAGGGCAACAGCCAACATCACGCAGTAGTACGCGCAAAGCGCAACCGCAAGTAGCCTGGCAACAGCCGAGCGGGGACCGGCCGGCATGCACTCCCCGACGCGACGCGGCCGGGACGCATCACGTTTGCATGCGCGCGGGTCTCCCGTCGGCCGTCGCCCTTTCTTTCCTCCCGTCCCCTTCTGGTCTCCACGGCAAAGGCAAGGAGGGGCTCCGTCGGCAGCATGATTTGGTTTGATTCGTGGCTGTCGACTGTCGAGCAGATGTACCGGCTCCGTGCGAAATTATGCAAGAGCACATCATGCATGTGGAACCCACGTTGCTAGTAGCCTAGTACTGTACCTGGCACAGTGGCACTGCTGTGCTTGGTCGTCGTACGACGCAACCTGGGAGTGTATGCCACCACTCCCTGGCCTGCCGCCCTGCGCTTAGCCAAAGAACGCCGCGATCTGGGATTCTGGGGTAGTAGCAGCCAGCAGGTTTTGCGGCCATTCAGCGTCAGGGTAAGCGCCCTGCCGGGAAAAAAATTGTGTGCAGTATGGCTGCGCTGCCTGACCATGCACACCCTCCCTGATCTGGTGACACGTGTCACATGGAGACAGCTGGATGGAGCCAAAGACGGGATCAGCGGGAGAGAGATCCGAAGAAGCAACCGATGTGCATGTGATTAAGGGCATCCAAATAAGTCACCTATTTATAAGTTAAAAAGTGAAAAAAATGATTTATTTTACTAAACACCACCAACTTATAAGTCACCCATGCTTATAAGTTTTAAGTTGGTTCACCCCTGCTTAAAACTTATAAGTCACCCTTTTTCGCGTGGGGCCTACATCTTTAATGAGCTTATAAGTCATCTAAAACTAAACATGCATGACTTATAAATCACTGGTTTTCAGTCACCTGACTTAATAAGTCACCTGACTTATGGAAACCAAACATGCCCTAAAAGAGCCGCCAATCAGGCGCTTTCCACTGCCGTCTGATTTCTTTGATGGACACGCGTCACGAGATCAGGCAAGGTCTGCACAGCCGGACAGTGCAGCCAGGCTGCATCAAATTGCAATAATACAGGTCGCCGATGGTTCCATTTCGCCACGACTACTATCCTCAGGGCTCAGGCCCGTCGATAACAAATCAAGGGGCAAGAAACACGGCAAATACAAATTTGCAGCTCTGTAAATCGCAAAACAAGTTCTCAAGGAAAGCTCAGAAGAAAGCGTCAGATCATGTAGGTGGTAACCAGTGGCGGATGCATGATGCGGAATAAGGAGGGGGCTAAAACAATGGAGATGTTGATTTGCATGAAGATTTAATGGTGAAATCAAGCTTTTACTACAGTGATTAGGCTTAAAATCAAGACATTAGGGAGGGCTGGAGCCCCCCCGGCCCCCCCTTTGGATCCGCCACTGGTGGTAACTGGTAAGCACTATATTATTCACTTTCAGTGTGCACTGCTGACGCAGCAGCAGCCTGCAAGATCATGGAGCAGTGCAGCACCCCACTCATACAACGATTATCATATAAGAGGAATGTGTCCTCCTATCCTCAAGTTTGAATGTTTGATCCAAAATGGAGTACCCGGCAAAGTCTACTACATCAACAGAGTAGTCACAGTACTCTCGGGTACCATCATCAGTGCAGCATCTTTTGTTTCTCAGAGGAATTCTCGCATCCGGACACTCCACACCAATTCACGATAATGATATGTATTATGTATACTCGTCTCTTACATAGGTTACAAAATAAGGAAGAGGGTTTCCATTGTGTGGAGCGTTTAACCCTAGTGTGGAAGCACTGATTTCCTGGTACATTATCCTGTCATTTACCCGACCTATTATAAGGCTATAACTGACTTACAAGAACTGCTCCATCACAATTCAGCTTGCCAGGCCAGGAGGACCAAATAGGCTGCAGCCTGCAGCCCCCATAAAAAGCCATCGATATTTCTCAGTATAACCTGAAATGCAAAATGTGACAACGAGTAGCAAAATCATAAACCAGTAAAGAATCATGAACCTATGTCTATGTCTACACTCATGGTGAACAAATATCATCTCGCAAGCTATCTGGTTTATATCAACACAGGAAAATGGGTTCTAGGAAAGAAAATTACCTGAACGAAAGCTATCCCAAGCTTATTCGCACCCAGAGAATCCGAGTTCAGACATTGCACCGCAGCCAGAGAATCCGAGTTCAGACATTGCACCGCAGGAATGTGGGATGCAATTCTATGTTCCTCACATGAAACTGTAAGCCAGTCTATCAGGTACACATGGGTTTTGCAACATGCAAGAATTCATGTCTGCTGGAGTCACTTTCCACAGCATCATCTTCAGGGCTGCAGAGCACAGCAGCCTCAATCAAAAATAATATTTCAGGAAAGAATACACTATAAATGGTACTACATTATGCAGTGCACATCTTCATCATGCAGTCCTGATTGCTGTCACTGCATGAAACCATGGACCATGGCCCACAATAGCACATGCCCTTCTGAACTCACCAACATTTTTTTTTGAAAGAAATGGCAGGAGCTCTGCCTAATCACTTAAGGTAGAAAAGCAAATTTGTACAAGTGCGCTGAGTGGCATGGAACACCAGCCCCCATCCAGCAAGAAGAGGGCCATCCACGGCTCCACGGCACAAAAAGGAAAACTACAATGCTAAAAAGCTAGGTCACAAACAGCTCACACAGTCACACAAATACAAGTCCAACCCCAGGTAACAGTTAAAAAGGCGCACCTCCATCACAGAATATCTTCCTTTGCCATTGCAGCAACATCTGACGGTAGTAAATTAGCATGTTGGAAGATGCGGTGATTCCTTTCCTTCCAAATATTCCACATGACGTAAACTGCAATGCCGCTAAAGGATCATCGCTGCTCTTTTGGCAGACTGTTCGCTGCCATCTCTCACCAATTCACAATCGATTCAGAATTACTTTGGTGCAAAGTACGAGGCAGAATAATCTGTTCCCAGGCTAGGATTTGTGACCAGATCAATGGTGCATAAGGGAACCGCAGGCATAAATGTAAAACAGTTTCCAAGGGACCATTGCAAAGAACGCAGGCTAATTGATGAGGCTAACCTTGGATTGCCAAATTATCCACCAAGGATCTGTCCTGTATGGCAGTCCAAGCGAAGAATTTGCATTTGTTTTCAGCTCTTGCCTTCCAAATTAGGCTTAGCTTGAAGGAAAAGAAGGTGCCCTAGAATTGTGCATCATAAGCTGATTTTGCTGAGTACTTCCATCCAATGTGATCTGCGACACCTGGTTGAAGGTTAATTTGATGGATGCGGATCTAAAGGAAAACAAATTCTTCAAGCTGCGTGGCTGTTGCGATCTTCCCACGGAAGGGCTTGATCCAGTTGTTATTAGAAGCTCCTGCTCCACTGTTTTGTTTTTCCTTTTAACAAGTCCGAATAATTGTGGAGCAACGACCCTTGGTGCAGCTCCCTGTAGCCAGCTGTTATGCCAGAACTTAGCCTTCTTGCCATCGCCAATCGTGACTTCTGTTGAAGCATTAAAGAGTAGATCCTTAGAACTCACCAATATTCAAAATCATCACGATCACCAATAATCTCCACAAGAACAAGAGCCATTGCTGAAATGGTGGAATCTGTTAGTGTCCCTCACAACAATTTCCCTTTTGAATACTTCGGAGACATATTTGAATGCAGAGTGGCAATCCCCGCATATCCTAATGTTCTTCATGATCCGAATCGTTGCCCCTGCAGGCATGTTGATCAATGCAAATGCAAGTGCGATCTTCTCGCTATGGTACTGCAACTTCGTCTCCCTCTCTTGCTCATTTATGTGCAGAAGCACATGATCTGTATTGGGCACATACCCTGCTTCTCTAATCCTCATGTTTATCTCCTCCCACATCCTATATATCTCTTCTGTATTGGGATGGGTATTGTCATCTGCCACAAACATGTGCACCGAATTCTCAATCTCAACCCAACTGCATGCAGGCTCCTTCTTTACACCAGTTGCCTTCATCATCTTCCTCACTCTCGCAGCATTGTTCCATTGACCTGTAGAAGCGTATATGTTATACAACAGCACAGGTGGACCAGTATCATCTGGATCAAGTTCAAAGACATGGTCAGCTGCATATTGCCCTATTTTAGCATTCTTATGCATTCTGCAAGCCCCAAGCAAGGCTCCCCAAACAGCAGCTGTTGGTTCCATGGGCATTTTAAACACAAAGATCAGATCTTCTTTCAATAACCCAGCTCGACCAAGAAGATCAACAAAGCTAACATAATGATCAATCTCAGGCTGCACATTATAGTCCTTCATCATGTCAAAGTAGTGCTTGCCCTCCTTCACCAGGCCTCCATGACTACAAGCTGTCAAGACAGAAAGGAAGGTGATCTGATTAAGCTGGATGCCACATTTCCTAATTTCCTCAAAATGAGCAACCGCTTCCTTTCCAAGACCATACTGTGCAAATGCAGTGAGCATTGTGTTCCAAGTAACTAGATCCCTCTTATCCACACGATCAAACACCTTTCTAGCATCAACCATGCTCCCGGACTTTGCATACATGCCAAGTATAGTGTTCCCGACAAAGGCAGTTAGTTTCTGCCCAGACTTAATCATATGTGCATGCACCCATCTGCCCTGCTCAAGAGCACCTATACGAGCAAGCGCAGAGAACACGCTCGAGTACGTAAAGTGTGTCGCCCCAAACCCATTCCTCTGCATCTCTGCAAACTTCATCAACGTGGTCTCTCCATCGCCCTTCCTTGCAAACCCAGCAATCAACGCATTCCAAGACACCTCGTTCTTCGAGTCCAGCCGGTCAAACACCCTAATGGCCATGTCCATTTGTTGACACCGTGCATACATGTCCAGAAGTGCACTCCCCACATAGACGTCCTCATCCCAGTTGTACTTCACAGCGAGCGCATGCATCTGCTCCCCAATGCCACCGCCACCGCAGGCGCCGGCCGCCTTGAGGAGGCTGGTGAACGTGAACCCGCTGGGCCTGAAGCGCTCCCTGAGCATGTCGGGTAGAAGCCCGAGGGCCTCTGCCGGCATATTGTTCTGCACATATCCGGTGATGAGGTAGGTCCATGAGACCACGTCCCGGCTGGGTATTCTGTCGAACACGTGGCGCGCGTCCGACACGGCGCCGCGCTTGCAGTACATATGGATGAGCGAGTTGAGGAGGAAGCCATCGCCCGCGAGGCGGGAGCGGGACAGGTGCGCGTGGATGGCACGGGCACCGGCGAGGTTCTTAGATTGTGCGCACGCGGTGATGATGGAGTGGTATAGGCGAGGTGTCGGGGCCAGCTCGCCCGCGTGCAGGAGGTCGAGTTCGCGGAGGCCGGAGGAGGAGGAGGAGGAGGAGGAGGCGGGGCTGGAGGGGAAGGAGATGGGGACCGCGAGGTGAGCTGCCGAGGTGTAGGGCTTGGAGGTTCGGCGACGGCGGAGGTGGTGGAAGACAAGCTTGTGGTGCTTTCTCATGGAAGCGGCGGCGGCGGCTGGTGTTCGACGTTTTGCCTCAAGCCCTCAAGAGTGGCCGTGTGTCGCGTGGTAACTATGCCGTACGCGTTGCGTACGGACACGTTGAGCAATGATCGAATACTGATTCTGTGTGTATGAATTCGTCTTTGCGAAGAATATTTGGGGGGTTTTAATGGTTGGGAAGGAAAAAAAATGAATTCAATTTCTCCACAACCGAAGCATTCCTTCTACAAGCATTCAAACTTTGCCCAATGCATGTGCAAATCAGCAAATGGCATAGCACTATTCACAATGCATTATGCATTATGCATTATGCATATGCAAATAAGCAAATGACATAGCACTGTTCACTTCGTAAGATTGGAAGATGGTGACCCAGGGTCTACGGAGAAACCGAGCGGGCACAAGCACAGAACCGCGGTCCATGTGTACCATGACGAAAACGAGAAGGTTTCGCGATCACGGAGGCAAGAGGCACCGCGCGACGGCGTGACCCGACAATGTTTTTTTTTACAACCGACAAGGGGAGAGGATCCGCACCAGAGACCCGACAACGATGGCCTCGCCAGTCGCTAGTCATCACGGCTCCCAAGCTGCCGGACCACAGAGGCCGCCGCCAGCCGCCGAACGCGATGACCGCGATGGACGCCAGGGTGATCGGGCGCCCATGCTCCATGCCGCAGGCGTGGGAGGGCAGCAAGACTCTGGCACTGCCTGCGGCCGTCTTTGTGGCTTGTCTTTGTGAAAGAACAAGAAATCAATAGACGCGGTGTTCCTCCGTGGCTCAAATGTACAAAGATCTACACCATCAAACAAGATTCATGAGACACCATAAAATACATCCTGCTAATTTATTTATTTGACATTATAGATGTTAGCATATTTTTTAAAAAAAAATCAATCAAATTAGACAAATTTGACTTAGTATACAACCAAAGTGACATAAATTTGAAATGAAAGGAGCAGCAAAACTTCACGATCGTAGGTGCTTCCCTGATCGTTCATCTAGATCTCCGTCAGAATTAGCTAGTAGACGACTATCATTCTATTGCGGTATTGTTGGAGTACCTCCAAACACCACCATTGCAAGCATAAGAGCTTTGCTATATGTCACCGCTTCAAGCACCGCCTGAGGAGTGAGAATTGTCCTTGTTCATCTCGGCATATTACTGATGATGCTCCACAATTTCCATTCTATGCAATACCTCCGCCCGCATGAATTTTCATCATTCCTCTACTCGAAGGCGTTCATCCTCTCTTGTATTGACATCAATCTTAATTGTTGGGGGGAGGGAGAGACAACCTTCTTCGCCACCCCTCGTCGCCCTCCGCTGTCCCAGCACTTAGTCTTTTAGCTATTTGGCGAGGCGGCAAATTCGCTAGCGCAAGTGGCTCGCTTCGCCATCACGCCACGAGAGTTCATGAAGTGCAAAGAAGCGAGGAGGCAAGGGTACTCACCGTTGTACAGAAAAGCAGTACCATGGGCGCAATCCGCAGTCGCCGCCCAGTGAACTCAAGTCCCATTTCGCCGCATTGTATGAGTATTCGTTGTCTACAGGTGATCTCCTAGTTTTGTCACAGCAGCAAGCGGGGTTGCGGGTGGAGACAAGGATGCCACGACGAAATGGGAGGCGAAGCGAAGGAGTCATCCCAAGGGTCCACGGCGGCGCCCGTGGAGGCGGAAGACAGCCGACCAGGGCGGAGGCCAGGTGATTACTAGGGACGGTGTCGACTATGGGCGATATTGACCGTTTAGACCAAATTGACCCTAGTTGTTTAGGATATGCTTTGTATCTGAGTAAGTGCAGGAGCAATTCGGTCCTATGTAAAACCTACGGATGTGTATAAATAGAACCCTTGGGGGTTGTTGTAAGGATGATGCATGGTTATTCTTTCTACACCCGAATTCTCTTCGCCGTTTTCCTTTTGTTCCACGTTCGCTCCCAAAAGGTCCCCTTTCTGAGTCCACGCTAGTCCAATGACCACCTAGTGTTCGAAAACTTCGATCTAGAACAACATTAATGCCTTGTAATTTCTTTACTGTTAACACATTTAGCCCATTCAAATATCTATTTTTAAAACATGGGTCGACAGAGGTGATTGAAACTCCCTCATGAATTCCTCGTCGTGCCCACCGTATACTACCCATAATGTGACCACTGTCCTTACAAGATCATCCTATGATTCTATGATAGTTTAGAGCTCATTTCAAATAACCATAGCTTAGCATCTGATGCAGTGTGTCAGGTCACTCCTCAAAGCCTGAAAGACTGAAACTAGGCTAGAATCCACAAGAGAACAGACACTCTGTAGCCCTTGCCATATCACATTCTAGGAGAAAGTGTCTCCATGAATGCATTAGAAATAGAGCATGCTGTTGTGGCGGCTATTTTCATGTACTCTTAGTTACGGTCTTACAGATTTTCCCCGTAGGCGGATATGGTCTCACTAATCTCCATGTAAAGACTTCTTTTATTTAATCTTGTATCTAAGGCCTTTTATTCACCACTGTAGACATCGCCAAATCGCAAGCCACCAAGTCATTTACAAGATCAGAGTGAGGGTTTGCCTAGACACAGGCCTAGCCAAGTCCCAATGCAAGCCAATGCTCGCAAGTTCATGTACTAACAAATTACAAAACGGGGAACAAGCAGCACATTAGAACATGATAAATTGTTTGATTTTTGGCAACAAGATACCTTCCAGATCTTTAGCCAACACCGCTCTAGGAAATTAGACGATGGGCCCCGTGATCCTTCTCTTTTCTTATGTAACCTTGTACATTCCCTTGCATCATCCATAATATAGTATGCCGATTTTACCAAGAAAACCTCTTTTGGATCAGAATGCCATGCAATAACGTTGCATGTTCTTCCCAAAATATGTCACATATGAGTTGGTCATCGACTAGAAGGAGGTAATCTGGATCCAAATGAATTAAACATTGCAAAAGAAGTGAAGAAGAAAGATTCCCCAAATGACATTGCTGAATGCGGCGCTGATGCCCTCCGCTTTGGGTTGATTTCTTACACTTCCGAGGTTATAATGACACCCGGTTGAATTTTGGTTGTATTTTACGTGTATTTAGGCTTTTATTACAATATCTTTTGTTTCTCGGTCTGGTAGAATAAAACTGGATATCGAGAGATTTGCTGTATATCTACGGCGGTGCAGTAAATTGTGGAATTCCTTCCGTATTGCGATGGACAATCTGGGTAATAATTACGTTCCACCAGCATCAGTAGATGTATCTCTGATGCCAGCAATCTGCAAGTGGATACTGTCTGATCTAGTAAGGCTGTTGGTAAAACTGTGACCTCTTTAGAAGCATCCAAGTTGTCAGGGTGGCAGTATGTGTAATAGATTTCTAGAAGCTATAAAATCCTATTTCTCGGAGGATTCTCAAAAGCACGAATCAGCAAGAGATGCCTCCGGATATACCCTGTGGATATGCCACTAGTACAGAAAAGATTTTTAGGGACGCCTCCCTTTCTATCAGAGCTGGTTAAACTAGCACGCCGTCTGGATAAACTAGCGCCGTAGCTCCATGACCGTCACTGAAGATCTATTTTGAGGGGCGGTTCCATTAAAAAATCCGCCTCTAAAAATGTATCATTTTTAGGGACGGTTCCGTTAGGAGAACCACCTCTGAAAATGCTATTTTTAAGGACTGTTGCTTATGTCAACCTCCTCTGAAAATGAGTAATTTTCAGAGGCGGTTCTACTAAGACAACCGCAACTAAAAATCAATTTTCAGAGGTGGTTGAAATCGTCCTTAAAAATAGCTACAACATAAATAAATTCATATCTTTTTTTTAAATAAAGTCGGATGAAGACAATATTTATATCAAAATTGTAGAGGTCGACGAGATCTAAAACTTTGTAGTTGATATTTTTTTTGAGGTCATTTAGGGTTCCAAATATATAAAGTAAGTCTCATGTTTTAATTTTAAATTTTTAAATTTTTCAAATGACCTTGAATGGAGAAATGTCCTATGCGAAAGTTGTAGTGCTCGACGAGATCTAAAACTTTATAGTTGAAAGTTTTCTCATTTAAGATTATTTATGAGTTAAAATATTGGTTATAATATTTCTACCTATTAGTACAAATAGACAACACCGTACAACTAGTCACAAGTGATTGTGCGGTGGTAGGGGATGAAACGTGCGAGAAAGAAGTTGTGGGTTCAAATCCCGGTTCTGCACTTATTCAAAATTATTCAAAACAAGTAGAAAATAAATCTTGTGAGATATGGCCGGTTATCAGCCCTTTGGGCTATATTTTTTTCTTATTTTTACTAGACTCTAGATGATTTTTAAAAATTTTGAAAATTAGTTTTAGGGAAAATTGATTTTTAGTTGCGGTTGTCTTAAGAGAATCGCCTCTAAAAATCGATTTTTAGTTGCGGTTGTCTTAAGAGAACCGACTCTGAAAATCGATTTTCAGAGGCGGTTTTAACCACCTCTAAAAATCGATTGTTAGAGGCAGTTTTAAAACCGCCTCCGAATATCACTTATTTTTACAATCGGTGTCATTGTAGCAGTTTTTTAGACTGCCTTTGAAAACTGATTTTTACTGCTATATTACAAATATTTTTTTCTTATTTTTACTAGACTCTAAATGATTTTTAAAATTTTTAAAAATTATTTTTTGATTTTTAGTTACAGCTGTCTTAAGAGAACTGCCTCTGAAAATCGATTTTTAGTTGTGGTTGTCTTAAAAGAACCGTCTCTGAAAATCAATTTTCAGATGCGGTTTTAAAACCGCCTCTAAAAATTAAAATCGCCTCTGAAAATCACTTATTTTTCTTAAATCAGTGTCATTGTAGCGTTTTTTAGACCACCTCTGAAAACCAATTTTTACCGCCTTTATAAATATTTTCTGTACTAATGTGCCTGGACACTGGTTTGTGCCTGCTCCACCCGTTCATGCCTTATATAACAGAAGAGCTCTGGCAGCGTCTTCCACGTCCCAATGATTCTTGTTAGGCAAATTCTAT